AGTACACAAACGTATATATTTGCTGCATACTACTTCACATATTTTAATTCTGTTTTGATTGAATTGGTATATATGTGTAGGAACAATGCGACGCACATCTTAATGAAGAAATATCCTGAAGCATGCGTAATAGAGCATTCTAAAGATGCTGCAACTTTCCACTAGATTCACAGACCTTCGTTACCCTTTTTTTGACAATATCTCGTATTTGTGGCGACTACCTAACCGCAAGAAAATAATTCGGCGCTTATATCTTCAATAAGGCACATTGTGTAGCGATTGTTTATATGTAGGTTTTGTTGGATGTGGGCAACACGCGCAAGTTGAAAAAGTTTACCACCCCTTTATAAGATAAATGAACTGTGAGCACAAGCTTCTTTAGCCAAGGCCGTATAAGCTCTCATCAAACTTATGCATGCATATGAAAATGAGTCTTTCTTGTAGGAAATAGCCCCCGTCTCTATCGAAAACTTCATAGAGATGTGGGGATCGTATCTACCTGTACCTGAAATTTATGTACATGCTTCTGCAACGCATACAACCAGTTTAGATGATACGTTAGGCAAAGCGAAAGCCAACTGATTCCATCACTTGGAATCGATGCATAGAGTGTGTACCCTTGTCTCCCTCTCTCTCTCTCTCTCTCTCTCTCTCTCTCTCTATATATATATATATATATATATATATATATATGTTAATAACAAGATACGCGGCATGAAAGATGCTATGGATAAAAGTCAACTATTTTAGAATACGACATAGCATAAAGAATATTTTCACATGTAATTACTATTTAGTAATCTAGACTCTATAGAGTGTTCACGAACCAACACAGTGACGCAACGGATTTAGCCTCGCTGTTTAAAGGCCATAGATTATCTCTGCCCACCTTAAATAATTGCCTATGATATTGAGTGAATGTTTTGAACACAATATATTTCAGTATCCTGATATTGATCAAACATGCATTGTTTATTTTGCTCTGACTATTATTTAACCATTACGAGTTTTTCTTTGCGTACGTCACTTCACATTGTACGCAGATATTTACCTCAGTCACTCAGTCAGACAGAACTTTCCCCCAGTTTGACTCTCTCGCTGCCAGCATCACTTCAGGTTTCTTCCATTGCTGTTTTGGCATAGCATAAACAGTAAAATGTTTGGGCTACTGAAGGGCGATTAATAGGTAGATGGCTAGTTTTCGATATGAAGATTGACGAACTCTCCTCCTCTATGCCTTATGCCTGCAGCAGGTCGTATAGACACGTAAAAGCAGACAATCAGTAGTGGCCCTCGCCTGTTCTAAGCACGTTGCCTAAACCGATCATGTGCGTTAGAGATGCGTCACCGAAGCGTCGATAGATAACTTTAAAAGATGTTTCGCTGTGAACGATCATATTTATAGGACAGGGAAGGGGTGTACTCGCGTGACGGGCTGCGCAGTAGACCGCTGTGACTAAACAAATGGTAAAGAAAAGTTTAGAACAGAGTATAATAAGTGGAAATATTTATACATCGTGTTCTAAATGTTACGCAACCAAGAATTTATGTTTATTCTTAGTTCGGTAAATGCATATCTCGCTAGGAATATTTACTCGTCAATACAAATGAAGGGAGACAATGTCGAGATATATACTTCAAAGAACATTTAAGATCTGTTTGCAATCGTATCATTTTTTTTTAACAAAAGTTCAACAATCCTATAACATACGTTTTCTGGAGTACGTAGCTTATTTTTTTTTCGAACCAAAATCGTTTTCTTAATGTATATTTATACCGATAACGATAGCCAATTTCCAGATGTAACTTTTTTTTAAAGGCAGCCTGACTGAGCAACTGTGTAGAGCCGAGAGCTTGTCACAGACATTCATCAAATTAAACAAACTTTCACGAGGTCCTCTAGGAGTATACAAAGCGGAGCTAGGCAATGTCAAGCGCAGATAGAGCTAACAACATTTCAACAAAAAAAAACGTGTTCCGTTTTTAGGTTTAAATGTACACATACATACGCTATTTGACGAGTCATGTATTTAAAAAATGGGACTATTACTCAAAAGCTGGTTTTTGAACTATTTCTCTTTTGTTTTCCAGGAAACAACCCAACAGCGTATGTTCACAACGATTAAAATTAAATATAGAAAAACTGTTCCTTAATGATAGTGGTGGCTTTAAATAAAGAGAAAAAGATCGGAAAAATCAATGGCAGTAAGCTTTATCAGTTTCATGTTGAAATCTCAGATCGACATCCAACATTTGCTTGAACTTATGATATTCATCGTCTTTTCCTCCTGTGGAAAACATAGCGCTAAGTTTGGACATTTGGTAAAAGTACGTTTGTGATAAACTGGTTAACATCACAACTTTAGAACTCCTGTCTAGCTCTAATTTAGAGACGCTTTACCTTCCAAGTGCTGGACTCGTGTTACTACTCGAACAGACAGAGAGAACGCACGCGCGTTTAGTAATCCCGCACCATCCAAAGGTGTCAGGAAAAGTAGTCTTCAGTTCAAACAGGTACTTCTAGTGCAAATATCCGGATACCGTAGTATGACTTGATGAACCTAAAGGCAAACCCGACTCCTACCTGACCCAAGTAATTATAAAACGGTAACCTTCAGGTCTATCTACATCGGACTAAAAAGCACTTTTAGACCCGCGTGCCCACTGTAACGTTAGAATAGAGGACCATGCGTACCATTCCATTTTGTTGCTTTGTTCCATCATTAAACAACTGTGATCGGTGCACCAGCGATGGCCCTCTGAAAAGAACCGCATAGATAAAACGTTAAGGGCATTTCCTCAAAGAAATCCTGATACACTTCAGCAGGTTCGTCTTGAGTACCACTGAAGAATAAGAGCTCGGTTCAGTGATTGCATCAGAGATACTTATTCCATTAAATGGACATCAATAGAGTACAATGTCGCAGCGAAGAAGACAATGACGCAGTGCGAATTGGATCAATTTTCTGCCAGTTCCAGGAGGGTGATAACTGGTGACATGGTATAGTATGACGTTTTGCTGTCGGGTTCAGAGGATAAGCGGAGAGGTAACTGTTTCCCGTTGGGGGTGAGGCCAATTCAAAAAAGTGCATCCGACCCAGGCATGCCCGACTGCATTCTGCGCTAGTCGTTTACCACCCCTTCGCTCAGCCGGCAAGACTAATAATTGAAGATCCAGCAGCAGCGATAGGTAGGTGGTCGAAGACATTAACAATAGATCGTTGATGCTTGTTGACGTTGCAGTTTTTCGTAACCGATAGATTTTACTCGCACAAAGTCTGTGAGGTAGGCTTAACATAAAACAAAGAATCGTTAAGTTTTGGCGGTAGTATGTCATCAAAATTGTTAGTAATAGTTAGCCCAACTCCGTAACGATTAGTTGGGCGATATATGCAATTGTGCTGGTGCAGAAGACCCGGAGGTAAGTATCTGATCGAGTCTGGGCATGATCTAACATATATGCCCAAATATATCCTAAATCTGCTGCTTCCCAAAAGCGACAAGCGACACACAACGCAGATATTTAATAATGGAAAGTCAAATACATTGTGATCATATCGATGGCGTTACATTGCATGAAGCTTGTGCGTTTTTGTTTGAATCGTGACTGCGCGCCGCAAAGATTCATCGATTTATTCTAAATAGATTTTTAATACATCAAAGATACTGTTAAAAATTTAATCCTGCTTCGCGCATTTTTTGGTATTTCATTATTAACCACAAAATTTAATATAGAATTTAAGGTAACTTGGATAGTAATTTTTTCCATGTTTTAAAAAAACGAGTGATCAATTGAACTTTTGGAACGTAGATCCGAACTAAAAAATGCCCAGTTGATTGAGAGAACACTGCCCATATTAAGCTCCAGATATATGAAACGATGCAGTCTTAAACACTGATGTTTCCTGTGGTTTGTTGGCCAAAAAATTAAGCAGGCCACCTTGACTATCCGCTGATCGTCTATTGTAAACCGTGTACAGCCTTACCGATTATGAGCTAGGCCAACACAACGCTCTATGAAACGTATTCGATCAATATAGAGTATATATTGAAGTACAATGGCATACTTATACGAGATCTGAAGCATCGAACATATGATGATGGAGTTAATAATAAAATTTAGTAAACATCTCAAAATCACCTTTCGGTTAAAAACTAATCCAAAAAACTATCTCAAGCCATAGATTAGAATTAACCTAGAAATTTCATACATTGTCGAATTTGATCGAGGATAGGTCCGCAACCGAATATAAGTGTTTGCATGGTATTTTCTCTCATATGAAAACCGTCTACCTGTACTTTCTGTTGATACCGAATACGCTAGCATAGGGCAAAAAAGAGGCATCTTTAAACTGTGAAAAATACGTACTGAGCCTACGTATCTGATCCGCCCTTCCTACCGTGGGCTGCGATCACTGCGACAATTCGATTTAACGCGCTCTGAATACGACATCTCCGTCATGTCATGAAGCACTTGGAGCACTGTGTTGCGGAATTGTAAAATGTTCGTGATCTCTCTAACTCTCCGCCTGATATAATGCCACACGTTTTCGATCGGATCCCAGTCGAGTGAATTTCTAGGGCTTGAATGGCAGGACCAATGGCAGCAAAAATGTCAGAGACACGCTTTAGCATACGACACAGTGGCTTGTCATGCACTAACACATAGATCCCATCTGAGAGCCATTTTCGAACCTGGGCAATACTGTATTCTCGCTTTTTCGTAATCCCGTCGCCGAAACGTAGTGTTCCTGCATTAGCGGATGAAAATCACGCCCTACACGACTATTTCATTCGAAGGTTTAAGTTGCTGGATTACGCAAGATTCGTAGGATCTTCTACAGCAACGCCTGTGGACGTGCTGAGCGTGACTAACCAAAACCCTCGAAGACGATTTAGCTGAGAAGTAGACGCGCTCCTACTTTTCAACTGTTTAATCGACGAGGCCGTTTAAACTGTGCGTATTCGTGAGCGAAGACTTCTGTGGCTGTTCTTCGACACAACCTAAGGGTTCCTTGAGGACAAGGTGACTCTGTGCCTTGCCACGTCCTTACGCGATTGAGAAATTGTTATAAATAGGTCTATTTGTAGGGTACTGCGTTGCGCACTTTTTTCGACCTTTGTTTCCGATTTTTGTTGACTATAAAGGCAGCTTGTCGTTCGCCTTCTGGGCTACGTTATCAACTACGAACTTCGATATTCCGACGTAGTTAGAAATTTTTTTTTGAGATTACTTTTCTTGGTTGAGTTTAGGTATTAGGCTTCGCTGCCTGTCCCATGAGGTCTTTTCATAATCCTATATGGACAAAAAATGACGAAGAAATTCACTGTAAAGTAATCGATTAAATAATAGTGACGATAATAAGTACTGTGTTACGTCTCGAATTATACATGTTTCTGCATGAACAGAAGACGATCAAATCGGATACCTGAATTGTGCGCAACGGCTTAAATATTCGTATCTGTCGTAACAAACAGTCGTGTCCCCACATGGCTCAGTAGATGCATTTCCCTTCACAGCAGCTTAAAAGTGCTTCTCTATTGACAATGTCGTGCCACGTACACGTACCTTCAGGAAACGAACGAAGGCAACTTTCTTATAAAAGGACCAAATGTAAATATTTATTTCGCGCTGAAAGATATTTTCAATTAGATTTAAAACTACGTAAAACTTCTGGGTAGCCTTATCTGATGACAGTATATATATATATATATATATATACATATATATAATGGGTCGTTCAGTGTGAAACGTGCCGAGCATAACTATCGTATTTAAAGATGACGCTCTTTTATAGCGGCGTGATATCTCGCATATCTTTTTTTTTTTTTGAATTTGAAATGCTATTATACTATTCGAGATCTGAAGCCCTTCACTCAAGTATTGTTACTCGAGCTTTTAGCGGACAAGCTATTGTAAGGCACGAAAAATCAGAAATGTGAGGTATATCCTAAGAGTATAACAACGTAAACAGCTTGCCGTATAAACCTTATATTTGGTGATGCTTCTACTACTACTGCTACTACAAGCCCTGTAAGCCATTGGTTCAAGAAATTTCGGGAAGGAAATTTTGGGCATGAAAATGGATCTTTTGCAAAACTTTCTGAAAAGGTAAATAAGAAAGAAATGAGAGCTGTTGTGGGAACCAACCCATCTCAAAGCGCACGGGTATCGGCACCCAAATTCGGTGTACGTAAAAGTACCATACTTCCTCGCTTTGGTCAAATGAATGAGGTCAAGAAATGTGGTTTTCATGATGACTTAAACAAGGAAAAAACGGAGATACGTCCGGTTCTATTCGCATGCTTGCTCAATACGTTCTCGCGCCGTATTGTAGTTTGCCATAAAAAAAAAATTACTCCTTTACGAACACCGCGGACAGGTGCATCAACGGTTGAATGCAACAGCAACCAGCGGGCTTTTACCCTGAAACAGACGTACAGCTGCAACGATCCGTGGTTTCTATTCAGCAGTCTAAGACTGTAGGTGCTATACATTGCAGTTTCATGAATCTTGCTTCGTCGATTATGGATGAGGTGTAACGCCAACAATTGCAGCAGAACATAGGAAAGACTCTGCTTTTAACCGGAAAATAAATGACCAGAAGTGGACCATTTTTATTGCACTCGATCTCGCAATGCAAAAACCATGCTGGTCAAAAAAGCAGGAGTTTTAGTGGGTGATGCCCAGGCACTTACAACAGCGGGACAACGTATTATTCAAATGGCGACAGGTCATCGATAATAATCGTGCACGCCTTCGACTGAAAGTAAAAGAACTAAGTCTGTGCGAGAAAGTTGAAAAAGTTATGGTTTGCTATGTCGTACATCATATTGAACGGTCTAATATATAATGACTGTCACTAAATATTGCATTACTTTGCGCTTTTCTATTTTTTATTCCTTCTTGATAATTTTCATTTTTCGCCGTTAACGATAATTATGCATTAAACCGAAATTATTGATCATATCACTTTGTAATTTAGAGTATGTAAATAAGAGTACAAGCCCTATCCTGCCTGAACTGTTTCCATTTTTGCCCGTCCGTATTTTTCTTTCTGTCTATGCATATCACAACGGGCGGCTCACGCTATCTTTCAAACGACCACAGGGCACAATATCACTATGTACGCATTACACCAACCAGGAGTTTGCTGGAGATCCTCTATACAGCCCTCTCTATTATATATACATATTCGCAGTACGATATCTGCTCAACCCTCGTGTCCTTGGCATTGAAGCTAGACAAGCCAGCCTTACTACCATCGATGTCGTCATCTTTAACAACTTGTTAATGACAGATATTGAGCGACATACGGAGACGCAACTCAACGCATTTAAAAGCCAGTCTTTTTTCCTAACATCATTGGCTAATGCGTTTATCATCATATAGTGTTCTTTGAGCGCCAATGAAAGCGGATGAGGGACAACAGCCGAAGATCAATTGAGACACTAGGGACGACAAATGGGCCGTCGTCAGACCGTTAATTCGAAATACGACCTAGCTTAGCGTCCCCTGCACTTTGGCCTGGAGCAAAATGTATCCTCATCAAATGATCTACCGTAGCGCCTGCCACCAAGAAGGCTTTGTACTCGATTTCGATCTACCTTAAATCAACTTCCATCCAGCGAAAGTAGGTCCTATAAAGAGAGATCAGCGACGATGTCCTAGTTTACTTCAGAGAGCTATATCCAATCTCTGCAGATTATTGTAGATGAATAAACATGTAAGACGATTAGTATGTCGAAAATTATATCACTCGCGTATTCCCTTTAAATTTAATAATACGATGCTTGCTATAGTACCTCAAATCATATGGCTGTACAAAGATTTCAGAAAACCTTTGTCTCGCGTACTAGTGTTCTGTGCTGGCATCCTGTCCATATGTGTTTCAAGTGTCGAAGAACTAAGTTAAACCTAACGCGGTAAGTAACATTACTTACAACATGGAGCCATCCTGCGCACTGCATCCTTTCGACGTTCTTTAACAAGACCAAGATCGTTCAAAAATAATCTTAAGCCCTGTTCCAGTTTCACAAATTTCAGCTCATAAATCCAGTTGGTATAAATAATCATCACAGATGAATTCAGTCTCGAACCCAGTACGCACAATCTTAACTCAAATATTCGGCTCTAATCTTTTTGAAGACATACACGCCCATTCTTTTGTGAAACGGGCCTAGCCAGGCGTTTATTAGGAAAGTTGTAAAGATAAGGGCGATTCTGTTGCTGTTTATCATTAGCCGTCATTATTACTTTTACTTGATGTTTCATCGGCTTATTTTGTTCCTGTTTGACTTCGTCCGATCCTCATCACTATCTGTTTAATGCTTCTACACTTCTCGTCATTCGCTGATCCCTTCTTTTCTGACATTCTCATCACCTTCATTAGCAGTAGCAGCACTATTATGATCTCATCTAGCATTAAGATTACTATTGTTATCAGACAAACGAAGTCTCACAAGGCCGCTGCTGTTATTGCCAGAATTTGCCTTTCCACCATTATACATCCGCATGATTCTTCTTAGATCATTGCTCCGGTGCTTTTGCGACATAATCAAATGGCGGTAGACAGGCGGAGAGAGCCAAAAGAAAAACCACAGATTATTTCAAAGAGAACTCTGCGAGTCAAATGTAAAGCATTGAAGAGGTGAGAACAGAACCCGTACGTGTGTGAACGACGTCCGTCTCGGCGCAGGTAATTGTGTGAACAACTCAGAAGGAGAAGGAGGGGAAGGGGGAACAGACCGGGTGGACGAAGGGAAACTCAGACGCTGGAAGGCAAGACATTTTTAAGACCAGGAGTTTAACGGGGGCAGAGAATTTAACTGTGTTGTAAATAACTGGAAATAAAATGAGTTAGGATAGCCATGTCGGTAAAACCGTGGCACCTAAGACGCTAGAATTCCATAGTCCACTTATATGCAGTCATAACAAATCCCAATAAAAGCCAGTATTAGGGAATAAACGGTAATAATAAGAGACACTGATTATGCAGGCACTGTTGCCCTCTCCGGTGCGCAATCAAGCATTTATTTGTCGAATCAGTATTTAACAAAAGTGTTGCATTCCTGTTTTTAATGTTTCAATATGTTTATACTCAGCGACTGTTCACCTCTGAACATCAATTAAAACTCTAATAGCTAATCCAGATCTAAATATGCAGATATCTAAAGATGGAACTGCTATATTTCAATTGCTTTCAAACTGTTAAGTGATCGCGCGTTACGCACATCGTTAAGAGACGACAACAATAGTCCTCGACAGAGAATGCAGGGAAAAGAAGGGGGTGGGTACAAGGAAAAGGTTCCCATGCATTACATCCGGACGTTGACGTCGCAGAAGCGAGCGCGC